ATTTCACCTGTTGCGTTGGGATAGGGTCTGTACTCCGAAGAAAGAAAGGGGTTTGGGGGTGAGGAAAATTAAGTTAGTTAATCAGGCCTTACTTTGTAAGTGGTGGTGGCGGAGCCTCAAGTTCAAAGACCATTTATGGTATAAGGTTGTCGCTGCTAAATACGGGGAGGATAGATTCAAAATGTGGGTAGGAAGGAATTCGAGAGACATGTCGCCTTGTTGGAAAGCAATAACTTTTTGCAAATCCTTAACCCAGAGGGATATTTGGTGGTCACATAGAGATGAGACTAATATTTCCTTCTGGCATCATAAATGGTTAAATGACTCTCCTCTGAAATATGTTTTTCTATTGGTATTCCAAAAGGTTGAAAACCCCGATGCAGTTATTCGATATTTATTCATTTTAATGGGTGATAAGGTTGAGTGGCAAGTTAATCTTCGCTCAACCGTATCTCGGATGAATTACTCAATCAATTTCTGAACTCCCAGCTGTTTTAAGTGAGGTCTATATCCCACAAATGGGAAAGGATGAATTTGTGTGGGACCTTTCTAAGGATGGATTGTTCTCGGTGAAAGCTATGTACTACTTACTCTTTCATGATCAATGGCGGTGGTCCATGTCGGATATTGCTATGATATGGAAGTGGCCTCTGCCTCTAAAGAACCAGGGCTTTCTTTTGCTAGTAGTATAGGACAAAGTCTTGACCATGGATAATCTCATTCTGAGAGGTAAAATCTTGCCTAATATATGTTTGTTCTGTAAAGCAAATGGTGAAACTTGTGCACATTTGTTCTTGCATTGTCCTTTCTCTACAAAGATTTGGAGTTAGTTCATTGAACAGCTTGGGGTGCCCCTTGTAGTACTTCCTTTGGTCAAAGGTATTTTGGGGGCTTTATCGATGCCTTCTTTGCCTCCCATTCGATTGGCTATTTGGCAAATTGCTAGGGGGTAATTCTTTGGGAGATTTGGAAGGAAAGATATAGAAAAATCTTTGAGGGTAAGACTTGTTCCTGAGATTTTGTTTTGGGGAAAATTCAACACTCTATCTGAGAATTCTTATCTTTTTCTAAATTTGGGAAGGACATTGTGGAAATTGATGTTAGGTTTAACCTTTGCAATCTTTCCAGTTGGGTATTTGTAAGTGCAAGCCTAAATTCGGTGGTCTCCACTGCTTAATGGGTTGCTTAAACTTAACTTTGATGGGAGTTCCCTTGGAAATCCGGGCTTGTGGGGTATGGTGGAGTTGTGAGGGACTGTGAGTGTAACGTTGTGCTCTCCTATGCTGGTCCTTTGTGTGATAAAACAACTAATTGTGCTGAAATATTTGCCCTTCTACAGGGGCTGAAGATTTTCAAAGCCAGAAACATAATGTCTAACTATATAGTTGAAGGTGACTCTTTTAATGTCATTGACTGGTGCAATAAGGTTAAGAAGCTTCCTTGGGAATTGTGGTCACTTTTTCTTCAGGTCTTAGATCTCTCTTCTACACTTCCTTTTTCCTTTGTTCATGTTCTTCGTGAAGCTAATGATCTAACGAACAATCTGGTGAAAATTGGTACCTCCCTTACATAGTTAATGGTTTGTAACGATGTAATTTCCTGATTCTGTTGTAATTTGCTTATACTTTAATAATATTCTTGAAACTTCGTCAAAAAAAAAAAAAAAAACTTCTCCAGTAACTCCTATCCAGCTTGTTAGCTCCTTTCTATCCTGATCTAACACCACCCTTGGGCCAAACCGGCATAGCTTGGCAACCGAGAAGTTGGTACTTAAAGATCCCTAAGAAGCTTTTTTCAAAGAACAATCACTAATAGACTTTGATCCATGAAGTCCCTTAATCAACCATTGACAAATTCAAATTTTTTTCGCGAATTATACCATATCATATTTCAATCAAGCCCTTGAGAATTTTTACCTTTTAATGTCAAGACATTCATGAGAAGAAAACTATAACATGTGGCTAAATTTAATTTCAAGTTATAGTCCCACTCCTTTTTTAAGTAGAGATGAAGTACATTTTACACAATGTGGTGGTGAATGATACTCCATAACCGATGCCCTTTCTCAGTATGGACAGTGGAGATAAACCGTAGTGCCAGAAATGAGTTCAAGGAAAAATTTGGAGAAATAAAAAATATAATAATTAGGGTTTCAGACAGCTCAATATGCTCCTGCCCATTACAATTAAGGGTGCGGTTTGTATAGAGTTGAGGCTCTAAACGATCAAAGTAAAACACACCTTTAAATAGTGTCAAGAAATGTGGTTTCAACTGGAAATCATTGTGATAGCCTTAAAATGTATTTTTATTTTTAATTATAAAAATAATAGTATAAATCGAGCAAATTTATGAAAACTTGAAAATTTTGAAAATTAAGGGTCTAAAAATGCGTTACAAGATGCGCTATTTCCAAAATTTGAAATCCATTTTTTTCTCATGTTCATATATCTTGATGCTGAGATGATCAATTTGAGGATGTTTGGGCATCAAAACAACTTCTTCTAGTGAAATTTTTGAGGTGGTTCTAATTGATTGTTTAGAGCCTCAGCTCTATATAAACTAGTATTCGCATAATCGAACCTAAACGGTTAACCGGTCATGAGGCTGGGAGCGGTTCGAACTGGAACCGAACTAACCGGAGCAGTTAAAGGGACTAACCGGTCAAATAGATTTTTTTTTAAAAAAATGGGTAAAAACCCCCCAAAATTTTGTTTTAAAAAATAGAAAAACTTAGATTAAGTATACACTATCATATATA